CATATGCATGTATATATTTAAGAAATATTTGCATGTATATACTGTATATAATTATATATAATTCATATTATATATAAATTTAAATATTTTATATATAAATAACAAATATTTCTTAAATACATACATGCAAATGTGTATTTATATATATACAAAATAATTATGCACAGTACACACATTTATCATTCATGTTCAAAATCTGTGTTTTTAGTAATTGTGGTGGTTTTTGGTATTTATAATTTTAACCTTTATATTAGTTATTTCTTTTCATATTTGGTGCCATTGTTAATGTAAAATTATTTATTTGCAGCAGTTATTTTGGAAGTAAAGAGAACCTAACTAAGAAATTCTGAATGCTTGTTATTCCTTGGGTGAGTGGGTGGTTGGGAGTGGGGGGGGCACCACCAAGCATTTGTGCTTAGGGCACCCAAATGGCTAGCGCCGGCCCTGGTGATTATGCAGATTATGGAAAATACTAGCAAACGTTTAAGGAAGTGTGTGCCTCTGTGTCTCAGGTTTTTGACACCTGAAGACACACACAACCTGTGCATTCTGTGCTTGGTTGAGGAGCATGTGCGTTCAGTGCTCAAGGGCTCTGAATGCGCCTATTGTGAGAAGTTCACAATGTGGAAGCTCCGCTCATGCTTGGCCTTATTCTCAAGGGATGTAGGACAAAGGTTTGCACCTCGTGGCTCAGGCCCCCCTGTAGCCGAGGCACAATGGTGGCTCAAGTTGTGGAGATCGCAGGTTGAGCTCGCAGAGGAATTCAAGAAATGCAGGTAATCGTTCCTCAGTTGTGGGCTTGAGCAATCTGTTGGATCAGGGTGAGCTGTCTTTAGCATCATCTGATCCAGCAGATAGCATTTTGCTGGCACCATCCTGCCAGGAGGAGCCGGATGTGGTTGAAGAGGGCGAAGATAGCATTTGTACCAAGTGTGCCACACACATCCTGAAAAGAGAATCCAAAACATTTGGTGACTTGCTGCAGTATAGGTCATAAACCCCAGCATGGATATTTGAGGATGACACCTGTTGAAGAGATGCTTGCGAGCATTGAAGGCTCCTGCCCTCTTTGAAGGTTCCTGCCCTGCCATCTAACACCATATCTACACCGGAAGCGAGCGGAGCTATGTGACGCGACAAAAGACAATATAACTCATTATAATCAGTGATGTGGTCTACACTGGATATGGCACTGTGCGACGTGACGAATCCACGACAGTAAACATATGCCTCGTTCTATTTATGACATACTCCAAGCACTTGCAATACTTCCCATAGGAAGGAGAAATTGATTTGCAATGGTCACTTTGTCTTGTCCAATGTAGACAGCTTCTAACTGTTGTGGTTGCTACGCGTCAACCGTCGCGTCCAGTGTAGACATGGTGTAAGCCACTACAGACCACCTCACGCTTGAATGGCAGGGCGTATGTGGCAGCAGGTCAGGTCGAAGGGGCCATTTACACTACGGTTGTGTTACAGGCCTACCAGGCGGATCTGCTGAGAAATCTGTATCAGGGCAGGGGTGGTCTCCTGAAGCAGTCGATGAGCTGCGCCACACCATGGACTTAGCCCTCCGAGCCACTAAACAAACAGCCGTTGCTATTGGTCATGGCATGGCAGCAATGGTGGTGATGGAGAGGCACTTGTGGTTAAACCTTCCATCAAGGAGAAAGGAAATAATTTCTCGCCCTCTTGAGCTTTTAGGCACATCTGTAGAGATGGTGGTTGGAAAGTTTAGAGAGGTATTTAGGAAGTATCCTGCACCGATCGAGGTCTCTGCCTAAAGCCTCAGGGGGTCCTGGCCCATCACAGTCTGAGGACTGGAGGCAGGGCCAGAGGTAGAGCTTGGCCACTCATACTCCTCCTCCCTTGATGCTAGGAGGAAGAGACAAGACTTGAGGAAGGTGATCAAAAGAAAGCGGTTCGGTAAGAAAGACAGGACCACAGAGGAGGAGTAACATCCCTCCTCCTCCTCCTCCCTGTTCCTCTCCCTAACCCTAATCTTAGGCTCCCTTTGATAGCTGCTTAGTCTCCTCTGAGCTAGATATCTCTATCTCCCTCTACTCTACCTCTACTCAAACTACTGCTGTGTTTGTAAGTATGGGTGAATATTCCTTGGAGGGTGGGTGTAGTTAGATACCTCTAGTTGACCTCATTAGAAGCTGGGGGGCGTCCCTCCTTGTTATTAGTCACTTACTATGGCTAGCGCTAGTAATGAAAAAGAAACTCGGTGTTGGCTATGACAGTTCCTAGAAGGGTAGGTTCCGAGCTGCCTCCTACAAGTAATCTGGGTTTTTAAGCATGGTTTAACTCCACTGTGGGTCCTGTGGGTTGAGTCTTGCTGGTACAAAGCTGAGGCTCCCTTATGGAGGAGTAGAAACAGGGCCTAAAATTAACAATCGGCAAATGCAAGTAAAAATTGGTGTAAGCGAGCATGTGAAACGGTGTCAATCGCCAGATGGCGGGTAACATTTTTATGAATTCTAACAATGCAATGTTGTGGGAACATGAACGTGAACACATGTTAACGTATGGGAATACTGAATTAAGTTATGTTTAACATCTTATTGCAATTGAACAGACAAATTTATACAAAATTATATCAAAAAATGCCCGTCTCTGGTAATCAAAGTCGGTTATGTCTTAAGGGAACGTAAACAATCGAGAAAGATAATGCATGTGTATCATTATATTGGATCCGTGCATTCGGTCTTAAAGTGACAGCAGCCTAAAAAATCCTAATACAGAGTAGGTCTTCAAGTAAGGGTCTCTTCCTTGTCCCTTCTAAAGTCCAGTGGTCCATGTTAAGAACCTAACAAGTAGAGGTAGTTTGCCTAAAATTGGCAGTCCTCCTTGTTATTTTGCACTTCTGTATTAGAGTGATAGAGAAGTCTGGTTGGATTCTGGGTCAAATTCAAGCAGGGAGGGAGCACTCTCCCCCGGTGTTTTATAGGCTAAGTAAGTAGAGCTGGAGCTCCCCTGCGGGTCCCTGAGAGGGTGGAGTTTGACTGCAGGAGTATTAGGCAACTATATTTGCCATTCTTGTTTCAACCTTTCGCATGAAATCTAAAGGGTTGCATCCCTCTTGGAAGTAGTGGTACCATCCAGGTTGTAGTTTAAATATTCTCCCTTTGATGAATACTCCCTGAAAGGCTGTGGCAAGCGAATGAGGCTGTCATAGCTAAGCCGTTCATTCCTTAGAGCTCTGTTCTTGGGGCTAAAAATGGCCTGCAAGGGAGGGAGGAAGGTCGTAAAGGCCAGGACTTCCTTTGTTATAAGAACATTGAAGCCAGTATATTTTATTGGGAGAGGATGACTTAGGGAGTGCTTCCATGTGAGTCTTTGAAGGGTTGTGCCCTGGGTTGACGATCTGACTCTGGTTAAAAAAAAAATCTGTTGAGTCAACTTATGCTATCCCCACTATGGTTGTACATATCACCTAGAGAGGCAGGCATTCCCTCAGCAAGGCAGAGTGTGTATTTGTTCCCAGTAGTGCCATTCCAAGACACAGTGTTGAGTTCCACTTCGAAAGTGAACGTCTCAGGTTACGACTGTAACCATGGTTCCCTGAGAAGGGGAATGAGACACTGCATCTCGTTGTCATGCCTCTGGCCTGCCTGCACGTCTCCTTCAGACTAAGAAGTTGATGATGTGGGTTATGTGGGTTATCTTATACTTCCGGGCACTCAGCTAATGACGTCACAGACTGTCAATCCAAGACGCAGTCTCTTATTCCCCTTCTCAGGGAACCATGGGTACAGTCGTGAGACATTTTTTCTTTTCATCTTTCTGGATTTATGTCATTTAAAGTGCCCCTATTATGCTACTTTAAAGGTTCCTAATTTTGTTTTGGAGGCCTCCTACATCAGGTTTACATACATCAAAGGTAAAAAATGCTTTAATTTTCTCATAATATACATTTCACATCACCACATTTTTCAATTATTCTCAAAGGACTCGTCCGAAGATTCAGTTTCTCTAAATCCCTCCTTTACACGAGTCTACTCTGCTCTGATTGGCCAGATGGCCCACTCTGTTGTATTTGGTCAGAAACGACACTACCCATTAACATAAGTGAATTTCAGCTCCGGAGGCTTCCTAAAGCTCAGCGATTGTACAGACTGTAAAGACAGTAACGATGGCGTTGATTTTACCATATCAATTTGAATGCAAGTCCGATGATGAACCATTGGAAGAACTAGTTATTCAACCCAAACCTCCATCACAAGGACGACTTGAGCAGGACGTTTCTCAGTGATGCGCTATTCAATTTGACGGTATTCCAGTTATAGATTTATTTTTAAGTTTATGTTAGCTAAAACGTATGTTTTACGTATGTCTAATGAGAGATTAAAACAACAATTTAAAATAATAGCCATCCATCTCAAAATGTAGGTCACATGATAAATCCAATGACTGTAATCATTGTAGTAATGTAGTAATGTAGTAATTGTAGTAGAATTTTTTTTTTTTTCAAACATAGCAGTAATGAATGTGAAATTAATTAATCAATTAATAAGTTAATTGATAATTAATTCGAAAGACAAAAAAATTATAAAAAAATATAATTTGAAGGATAAAACTCTTTACTTCCTTTCTCCACCCCCACTCTAACATCAGAGACTGTGTTTGAATACCACTGAATAAATTACAATTATACTACCGGTACACATACTACTTGAAAGAAATTTTGTATTCCTTCCTTCAATTTTCACCTGATTTATACAAGCAGAGCTCATTTGCTTTTCCCCCACAATCCAACGTCTGTAATTTTTTCGTTTTAGCATTTCAAGAATCCAAGAGTAAAGTTATATGACAAGTATGTAATTCTAGAATTTACAAGTATGTATTGTTGCATAGTACTGTGTATTGTCTGTCTCTATACTATACCAGTGTTTATTTTTTGGAATAGTCAATGTAAGAAGTACAATATTATGTTATTTTGAATAAACCATTGTTTTTTCCTTGGAAAATGCTAAAAGAAGCTCAGTGGCCCTTACCTTCATCCACTTCATCGTTGGACATGATGGCAACACATTTCTCCCAGACCATCTTGACGTCTGCCCTGTAGCGGTCACAAGCCCACAGGAACATGGGAAGGAGAATTGATTGTGCTATGGAGCACCATAGTACACATAAGACCATCCAGTTGTAAGAGCGGTCAAATTTCAGGCTGGCAAAGCTCACCACCTACAATGAAGCACTGCAATTATTTATATGGTAAAAAGCAAAGAAAAATGGGATACAGACACATACAGTTCACATTATGCATCATTTAACTCTGGCAGTGATACACATCACGGTCCCACTTTATATTAGGTGTCTTTAACTACTATGTACAAACCATAGACTGTAAAAAAAATATGGACGTAGTGTCCATGACATCGGACACTACATTTCTGAAGAGATTGTGTCAACTAGCCTCTCCCCTGTGAAGGTCTCATCGACACGACAGCCATCGGCACTGATCCTCAACAAACCCGTCTCCATACCGGCATGACTCAGATCTTCAACCAGATGGAACTGGATAATATTCTGATTGTTCCAAACCACTCTGACTTCTGACCTATAATGCTGCCTGAATCATAATCATACACTGTTCGTTCATTGGCCAGAGGAGAACTGGCCCCCCGACTGACCCCGGATTCTCTCAAGGTTTTTTTCTCCATTCTGCCACCTGATGGAGTTTTGGTTCCTTGCCACTGTCGCCTTTTTCCACCTTTGTTGCCATTGGCTTGGCTTGCTTAGTTGGGGACATTAAATTTAATATTCAACAATAATATTGATCTGCCTGCATTGACACTATTGTACAAGAACTGAACTGAGCTGTGCGATGACATCACGGTTTACTCCAGAGCGGATATATATATATATATATATATATATATATATATATATATATATATATATATATATATATATATATATAAATGAACTAAATTAATAACTTTTTTAAAAAACAAAAATGAAACATCACTGAACTTACTTAAAGGGATACTCCACTTTTTTTGGAAATAGGCTCATTTTACAACTCCCTGATGTAGTGACTCTTCTGATGTACAGTGACTCTTCTGATGTAATTACAGAAGAGTCAAGTTTTAAATAGGAAAAATATCGAAGCACTTTGGTCATTTTTTAATGAGAAATGCTAATGGTCTTGTCCACTTCAATTATGTATGCTAAGCTATGCTAAAAGTGGTACCGCCAGAACCGGAGATCGGCTGAATGGATTCAAAAACGGTAAAACACAACAGTTTAACTCTGGGGGAGTTGTAAATTGAGCCTATTTCCAAAAAAAGTGGAGTATCCCTTTAAGCTGGACTGTGATGCTATTTTCTTCTGCAAACAAACTTTTTTGCATTATTTCCTGTTATCTCTGTAAAGCTGCTTTGAAATAATCTGTATTGTAAAAAGCGCTATATAAATTAATGTGACTTGACTTGACTGAAAAGCATTTTTGAAGCCCAAAGTGGGCGAGTCATTCTCGGATAACCAAAAATGGCGGGATCAGCTGAGGTGACGTGACGGCTAATAGACAGCAGACAAACGGCTAATAGTGACAGCAGCGGCAATCCTGTCCTGGCCTCTCACTTAAGTGGCCACGCCCTTAATTATGCAGAACTATAAGGCTTAATAATATTTAAACGGATAAGTTATTAAAACAATTCACCCCCCTCACAGTTGTCATGAAGGGCAAAAATAGCTACAGAGACCAAAACCACTTTTTGTACCAGGCTGTATTTTTTATGCTGTAAAGTTCTACGAGATTGACTCTCTTTTAGCGGCCAGTCAATTAATTAGGGGCCAAGCACCGAAGGTGCGGAGGCACCTATTGTATCTGTTCCGGTTCTTATTATTCTTCCGTTTCCGTTTCTTCTTCTTCCGACTGGGCGTCTATGGCAGCCCATAGAACCGTTTGCGGGAAAGTTGTTTTGGTTTGACATTCTGATAGAGGACAGTCCCAACATTAAATACACCAATTTTGGTGTGTCTAACTCATTGCCTCTAGCGCCACCACCTGTCCAAAGTTTCACTCATATTATGCTAATAACTTTTGGACGTAAGGCCTATCAACAAAAATCTTTTTTCCTCTGATTCCTGAGCTCATGACGATTTGATTGCATCCTATGACGTCATTTTCCGTCATAAAAATATGGCCGCCATTTTAAATTGTCCAAAAAAACTACTTTTTCGAACTCCTCCTAGACGGTTTGTCCGATTTTCACCAAAATTGAACCAGATCATCTACAGGTAGCGCTGACAAAAAGTTATGGAATTCAAGTTGATTCGTCAAACCGTTCTTGAAAACCGCGCAAACTAATTTTACGTAGCACTTGCGAAAACAGACGTAAGGCTGTATCTCCGCAACGCTTAATCGTATTCAGACCAATCTTGGTAGATGTCATCACAAGCATGACCTGAGGCTACATGCTGCGTTTCGGCGCAGCGCCACCTACTGGTCCGGAGATATGAAAAATGGCTATTTTTGCTCATAACTTCTCAACGGTTTGTCCAAAAATAAAAAAAAATGGTCTCGTTAGATTCAGGGCGTCGTGCCGAGGCGACTGATATCAAAATTTCCCAGATCGGCCATTTTGGCTGTCGGCCATTTTGAATTATGTGCTAAAATGCTGTATTTTTTGAACACATGAACGAATTGTTACGAAACTCGGTATGGGTCATCAGTACGATGCCTTGAAGGAGCCTCAGAAGTTTCAAAACAGCGCCACCTAGTGGTAAAATTTATTTTTCAAATGCTTATAACTCTGGGTATGGTTGACTTATTTTCACGAAAGTCTTCTCGTTGAGTTCTTGATTCCTTGCTGAGTCCACAGATACCAAACATGCTAGGTTTCGACTTACGGTTCGTTTAGTGTTGTGATTTAGCACTTAAAAAACATTTGCCAATATCTTCAAAACCGTTAGTCCGATCAAGACGAAACCACCGTCAGAAGTTTGAAAACATAGGTCGCTGGCTATATTCTAATGCCCAAATGCCCAAATATTGATAGTAAGGGGTAGTAAAATTCAATCAAAGTCACGTGTCAGTCATTTTTTACGTGTTTTTTCAAATTTATGTCTATAACTCCGAAGCAAATTGAGATATTTTCACCAAATTTGGCACACACATGTATGAGCTCATTCTGAGGACACATAAAAAAAATTGTGGGATTTTGCCTCTTAGTGGCGCTATAATAGAACAAAACATGAAATTCCCATTGACTTCAATACAGTTTTGTGATGTAAAATGCTATACTTAACAAATGCATTGCTGTAACATTATGAAACTCAGAATTTGCCACCAACACCATCCCCTGAAGGTACTCAAAAGATTTCGAGTTAGCGCCACCTGTTGGTCAAAAGTTAAATTAAATTTCCAAAAATGCTAATAACTTTTGAATAAATATGCCTGTTGTAATGGCACTGGTCTTAATAGATTCCTTGGGTCATGCCGAGAACATAGATACCAAGTTTGACGTATTTGGACGATTTTCCTGTCCGCCATCTTGATTTTTCTTGAATACCTACTTTTTCAAACTCCTCCTAGATCGTTTGTCCGATTTTCACCAAATTCGAATCGTATCATCTCCAGACCGTGTTAAATAAAAGTTATGGATTTCGTGTTGATAGACGAAACCGTTTTCTTATACTGCAGCAGCATATTTGAGGCATGTGGCCAAAAGGACTATTCAGGCTTTATATCTGCAATGCCTCGACATATTGACACCAAACTTTGTATGTGTCATTGTCACCTCACTCTGACCACACCACATCAATTTCGTAACTGCGCCAGCTACTGGTCGAAAGGGATAATCCATTAAATCATACTTTTAGTTAATGTATATGATTTTTCAGCCATTTTACCAAAATTCTCTTAAAATGTCTTTAATTGCTCCTTGCTGCAGTTGATCTGCCACTCCCACCCATGATGGTATCTGTTGCCGCTTCTTGCTCTTGGCCCCGGTAATGGCTGCTTGCAGCTAAATTTGTAGTTTAAGTCACTTCCGTGTTGGATTCAATTAATTACAGATGCAATTAAATGCAGGTATTTTTAAATATATTACAAGTACAATGTAAAGGTGAAGGTTGCCGCTTGGTACTAACATTTAAATGAATCATTTGACACAATGCACTTATTGTGTACATACATTTTTTTGCAGTGTACTTGTAATGTATTTGAAAAATACCTGCATTTAATTACATCTGTAATTAATTTCTGTTATCACATCTATAATTACACTGTTGACCCTTCCCTTACACCTTAACCCTACTCATACCCCCAAACCTGTTCCTAACATTACCTGTATACCACATCAATAGCAGCAAAAGTGTTTTACAAGACAACATGGACAGTTACATTTTAGGACTAGATGGTAATAACCCTTGCTATTATTGCAAAGCTTAATTTGGGTTCATCAGTTGGGCACCCTCTTTCCTTAATGATATATGACCACGACACCTCCAGAGGGCTCATTGGCGACATCTGGCATCCCAGGTGCGCCCAAGGAGGTAATCCATCAGTCGGAAACTGAAGCTTCCCTTGGGGGCCGCCGTTGTAGCAGACCATCACCTGCTTATAGCATCCCCTTGACTCCCATTCATTTTGGCGTCACTTTGACAGCGAATAACTTTACATCTGAGGCGTCCAAAGACTCCATTTTTCCATTATTTATTTAAAAAGAAACACGACAATGTATAAAAGGCTCCATTACTTTGTATCTTACGTTATGGCCCAGTAGAAGCCGTTTTTTGTAAAAATAGGCTAACGATTGCGTCATAACCATGCGACTCTCTATCGCACAGTAGATAAATTACCATATAGACCGGAGGAGAACCTCGCAGGCAATCGGGGGGACGTGGAGGCATAACGTCCAATAAAGTCAAGGTAGAAGCCCATAGAGAGTCATAAAGCTGATCCTGCTGCTAGCTCATGGACAGCTCCTACTCGCGCTCTCAGTCTCTGCAAGATTCAGAAGGGAATGATTCAGATTTCTCTTGGCACAGCTATTAGAAGACTTACAACTGTCAGACAGGTTGCTCAAGTCACATCTACGTTGTCAAGCTCAGTTTGAGCATGCGCAGTACGCTCAGCCATCAGGAAGTGAGTGCTTCTAATTGACTCCACTTTTCTCCGTTGAAGTCTATGGTGTCGCTGTGTCCATTTCTTTTACGGTCTATGGGTGCGCCCCCCTTTGCTTTTACCCCCACTCTGTGCCTCTGCTGTTACGGGGCCCAACCAATGTTCTTCCTTTTAATCCAGAACCATCGACTCGCTTATTCAGCAGCACTTGAGAGGGCCTTGTCAGCTTTCTGATGGGCTTGGCCTCAGATTCCTCAGTCCTTAAGAATTTTGATGACAGATCTACCGACAAAGCCTCGACAGCCAAATTCGACTGGGCAAAACATTGCTTTCCAGCCACATTTTTTCACGTCGCCTGCTTGCTCAGCATACTTTGGGCTCTTATGTTTATAGGCCTCCTCTACAGCATCCTCCCAGGGCACAGTATGATATACAGAGTGTGAGGTGAGGAGGACCAAAGCACAAGTTCTGGTTTAAAATTGGTAGCTACAATTTTGGGTGGGAAGCAAAACCTCTGATTCAGGTCAGCTAAAAGCTTCCAATCCTGAGCTCCAACCAACTGGCCAGGATCTGGGGTTTTCACCTTGACCTCACTTGTCGCTTCCCCCACAAACTCCTTTACTGGAGCATGAAGACATAACGGAGGATGTAATGCATTGGTCCGTTGGTCGGGAGGTAATGGTGGTCCGTCTGGAGTCCAATGACACTGCAAGATACTTCAGTAACTGGTTGTGCCTTCATGTGAGCCAACCAAGATGTGCTTCAGGTTTTCTAGAGATGAGCAGAAGGGGCACATAGGATCTTCTTCGTATCATTGGTGGCTCCTAATGGGAAGCTTATTTGAGATGCTTCTATGCTCCACAGCTCCTCCCAAGAGAAATGTCAGCTCTCAAATCCCTACCATCTCATCCACTGCCCTTGCTTTGCTTTGAGAGGTAGATTTGCTTGAGATTGGTAGATCTCGTGGTTAAGGAGGTGCCCCGGCAAGAGCAAGCAACAAGTTTTTGACACTGAGATAGAGTTGCCATGTGCCAAAATGGTCTACTATCTCCAAGGCCACCACTCCCTTGCTGCACATGTCGAATGATGGCTTAAGGGCTGACTTAGCCTGCATGGATCAAGGGATTCCATCAGTTTAATTTCCAGTCTTACTTGGGAGCATTTATACACCGGAAGATCCAAAATTCCATTTTCATACAGGCCTATGTTGCTCATGCACCTAGGGAGGCCTAGCCATTTTTTGACAAATGAGCTGATCACCCTTTGCAGTTTTTCAACTTTTGAGACTGGGACCTCGTAGAGTCTTGTCAATTATCTCAAGGCCACTAAGGGTGTGCCGCCTGAGCTTGTCCACTTGTTCTGTGTCCTTGAGAGTCGCATCATACCAGCAAAGCAGGCTCTAAACCATCTGGGGTCGAAAAACGCATCTACTTTTATTTGTGCCGTCTCAGTCTCTGTGAAGTTCTTTCTGAAACGTGTTTAAAAAATTAGCTCAAACTCAGCAAATACTTTCCACACAGACTGGGATAAGAATCCACTTCAGATCCCAAATGGAATTTAACCATTTGGGATCTGAAGTGGATTCTTATCACCGAATGAGGCAGACAATATAATATTTTGAAGTATTCTATACTGTAATTAATACTATGTCGATTAGCATTGCATTGTAAATATTCTTTAATCTTATGAAAATACCCGAAATGGCGTGAAGAACACAGATAAACCATATATATTGTCACCATCTTGTCACCATATTGTGTTTAATGTCAAAGCATTTCTATCTTCTTTTTATTCAGCTACAGCGATAGCTGTATTAGGGATTTCCTGGAACATCATAAGTCATATTACTTCTGTGAGGCATATTTGGAGTTTCTGCGTGAGGGCGCCCTCCGGGTTCCAGTATGAATGAAACATACATAACATGTTTTTAGTGCTTTGTTCTAGTTTCCCGCCACTCATCAGTCATGGACACTAACACTAATCATCACAGCTGTTCGTCTTTTAGTTAATCATCTTAGCATCTGTTCCTGTCTGTGTTCTGTTCAGTGTCTGGTATTGTTCGTGTTGTTTGTTTGTGCTGTTTCGCATGTTGGCTGTCTATTTGTATTTATCTGTTAAACCTTGTGTTATCCTATCTTCGTCTTCATTGGATCTAAGCATTACAGTTTTATAATATATGATACTATACATATATTTTTATTTAGAACTAATAATAATCATAATAATTATTACAGGGACGTGCTTCAGACACCGTCTCACGCGGAAGCATTCCCATAGCATCAACGCCATGACGCAGTGTCGAAGATCCACTTTGAAGGGCAACCAAGAGACATTTAGATACCAACCACAAGCCTGTTGTATAAAAGCCGGTAGTAAATGTGCTCTAGAAATAAACAAACTTGTTGTGTTCAAAATAAATATTGTGATCTGAACACATCACAACAATCCATCCAAAAGTAAATCTAACTTCTGCTCTTATTTATAATTTGATGTACAAAATGTGTCAATTTACAGATTGACTGCAAAACCATTTGAAAACCTAATGTGTATTTATGAAATCCATAAAATGTATACATGTAGAATATGGGGCAGAGCTTTTCTCTTCTTTAAAAATAGGCCTTTATGACAGACGTTTTAGCTATGTGAAGCTGTGAGAACTGTTGAATGGTAACAACAGATTCCATGGAGTTTTCTAACTGACACATTCGAGGATTTCATGTAGGATTGTTATAATCAACATCACTTTTTTTTTTTTTTATATGAAAATTGCATTCGGAATCAGGTACAGAAAATCGTGGGGGACCAAACTCACTTTTTGTATTCACAGTATGAAATGCTCCCCTCCGGCAGAAGATATAGAGTCCCATTGTGCAAACTAAATAGGTATAAGAATTCCTTTGTTCCTGTGTCTGTACGACTGCTGAATAACAGTTTATCTTATTAATTTTAAATTTGTAAAATCAACTGTCTTTCCTCTTTTTTATTTTTATTTTTGTATTTTTGTATATTTATATGTATATGCAGCAACATGTAGTCCAAAACAAATTTCCTTCCGAGGATAATAAAGTATACTACTATCACTATGTTTGTCAATAGTCGTCAAACAAGTCAATATCATTTATAAGTCAATTTAGAGCAACTCCTCAACTCATTAACCTATGCAAAGATAAAGAACAATGGCACTCCACCAAAATCCATTGAATCTCCACTGAAGCCCTTCTTGAAAATCATGTTCTTTTAAATGAAAACAAACACTCACCAATATGGGGAATCCAGTTAGAAAATCGTATATGAAGACTATTCCACTGATCAGATAGGTGATCTGCAGCGATGTCTTAATGGGCTCTGAGCCATCAATGGATGAACGCCTTTTGCCCTGAGCATCCTCCACTACAATGGTGGGAACGTTAAATTTGTTCTTGTCCACATGTTGGCCCATATGGATGGAAAAGGTCTGGAAGAGGGCAATTCCAATACAGATGACGCCCATCACCACACTCCCGCTGATCAGCAACAGGAAGCAGACGCCAAAGCCCAAGCCAATCTCAGTCACAATGAAGCGACAGTTGTCGTGGGTGTAAAAGCGTTCTGTGGTATCATGCCAGCCAACAGCGGGCAAGGTGGACAGAATGAATGACACCATCCAGATGCCCATGACGGTATGTACAGCCTGCTTTTTGGTGTTACTCAACCTGGTAGAAGATAAAGGAGATTAAAGATTAAAAGTCTCAATGAAAGGTTAATATATCTACAAAAACAAAATCACACATATCTGAGGAAAATGTTTGCTTTTTGATGTTACTCAACCTGGTAGAAGATAAAGGAGATTAAAGATTAAAAGTCTTAATGAAAGGTTAATATATCTGCAAAAACAGAATCACACAAATCTGAGGAAAATGTATTTTTAATAATACTATAATGGATATACTAGTTATATAAGTGGTTAATAAATCTAGATTGCATCATTGAGCTTAATAATTTCTAACTCTGTTTTTGCAACATCGCTGTTAAAATGTGTGGTCTAGTTAATTTTACTGAGTATGGTTATAAACCGGGGTGAGTTGTAAATTATAACATCATCAATTAGAATCCAAATTTCTGATTGATAGAATCAAGTTCCGCTCTACTTTTTTTTTAGTTTCACTTAGAAATATGTCACATTACACTTTAGATCACAGCACTGATTATAAATCACTCTCTCTATTTTTGATTTAATTAAATAAGACTGAAATCTGTACTGAAAAGAAAATATGATTTAAAAGTTAAAAGTTAAAAGTTTTTCCTGTCAACAAAGAGGAATAAACTATATTTTAAACTCTACGTTTAGGACTCCAATCATCTGGACTAGGGGTGTGCAGCGGAGCCAATATCTGTATATGTATCTTTATCTGTAACAATCTCCAAATTCTTAGTATTCTGTGAAATTCTGTGTCGGATATTCGTATAAACCGGAAGTGCGTACAATAACTTGAGAAGACCGTTATGTCTATGGTTTTACATCTGTTTTCTTCGTAGTTATCACTAAACAAATATGCCTTGTATCAAAAACAAAATAATACTCCAAGGCACTTGAATTGTGTAGAAAAAAGTTAAAAAGCCTTTATTTGATCATGGCTTTTATCAATAAAATTGGTGACACCAATCAGTCACCAGTTTTATTGATAAAAGCCATGATCAAATAAAGGCTTTTTAACTTTTTTCTACACAATTCGAGTGCCTTGGAGTATTATTTTGTTTTTGAGCTTAATTATCCCAAGCAACAAAAGAGCACCGAGATTTCACACCCTGTGCAGCACTTCATTTGCATTCTTTGCTGTGATGAAATATGCCTTGTATAACAGATAAAATAATATGTTTTATATGATTGTAAAATTTAGCCTATTTAAATAACTGTCGAAGCCGATAGCCTCGTGTAGGCAATGCTTTGAGTTGTGCTTTGGATGACCCGAGTTCAAGTCCCAGCTTGGGGACCTTACGTGATTAACCCTTAGGGGTCGCCAATGCGCCGGCAAGTTTTGCTGGATTTTATTCACTAGTAGCGCAATAGACTTAAATCACTCCGTCATTTATGGTCATACAGAAAAAAGAAATATGAAAAAAAGAATCTGTAAGATGTCTACTCTTGTATGTGGCCACTTACAATCGAAACAAAAATTGTACTTTTGTAAAATAAAGAAAATAAACAGGGTGTGCTTTCTGCCTCTCCATTTCCGTGAACTTTTTTTTTTCTTGAGCACATCTATAAACTGAAACAAAACTCAGCGAATATTTGTCACACATATATGAGCAATATACACTCACCTAAAGGATTATTAGGAACACCTGTTCAATTTCTCATTAATGCAATTATCTAATCAACCAATCACATGGCAGTTGCTTCAAAGCATTTAGGGGTGTGGTCCTGGTCAAGACAATCTCCTGAACTCCAAACTGAATGTCGGAATGGGAAAAAAGGTGATTTAAGCAATTTTGAGCGTGGCATGGTTGTTGGTGCCAGACGGGCCGGTCTGAGTATTTCACAATCTGCTCAGTTACTGGGATTTTCACGCACAACCATTTCTAGGGTTTACAAAGAATGGTGTGAAAAGGGAAAAACATCCAGTATGCGGTAGTCCTGTGGGCGAAAATGCCTTGTTGATGCTAGAGGTCAGAGGAGAATGGGCCGACTGATTCAAGCTGATAGAAGAGCAACTTTGACTGAAATAACCACTCGTTACAACCGAGGTATGCAGCAAAGCATTTGTGAAGCCACAACACGCACAACCTTGAGGCGGATGGGCTACAACAGCAGAAGACCCCACCGGGTACCACTCATCTCCTCTACAAATAGGAAAAAGAGGCTACACTTTGCAAGAGCTCACCAAAATTGGACAGTTGAAGACTGGAAAAATGTTGCCTGGTCTGATGAGTCTCAATTTCTGTTGAGACATTCAGATGGTAGAGTCAGAATTTGGCGTAAACAGAATGAGAACATGGATCCATCATGCCTTGTTACCACTGTGCAGGCTGGTGGTGGTGGTGTAATGGTGTGGGGGATGTTTTCTTGGCACACTTTAAGCCCCTTAGTGCCGAATGGGCATCGTTTAAATGCCACGGCCGACCTGAGCATTGTTTCTGACCATGTCCATCCCTTTATGGCCACCATGTACCCATCCTCTTCCAGCAGGATAATGCACCATGTCACAAAGCTCGAATCATTTCAAATTGGTTTCTTGAACATGACAATGAGTTCACTGTACTAAAATGGCCCCCACAGTCACCAGATCTCAACCCAATAGAGCATCTTTGGGATGTGGTGGAACGGGAGCTTCGTGCCCTGGATGTGCATCCCACAAATCTCCATCAACTGCAAGATGCTATCCTATCAATATGGGCCAACATTTCTAAAGAATGCTTTCAGCACCTTGTTGAATCAATGCCACGTAGAATTAAAGCAGTTCTGAAGGCGAAAGGGGGTCAAACACAGTATTAGTATGGTGTTCCTAATAATCCTTTAGGTGAGTGTATCTTTATATACATTTAAGTGTGTACCTTTAAACTATCTAATTAAAAATGAAAACAAATATTCTCTGTTTAAGTCATTTGTATGAAACCAACAAGATGTCCAGTTTCTCAAGCTAGCACTCATTAGCTCTAATTTGATCACATCCACGCGCGCAAAAGAGATTCACATGCAAATGTCCACGTGAAGGAACACGAACCTGTAAACACCCTCATTACCTCCAAAACAAAGCACCAAACTTCATCATTCCTCTGATTTTTGTCAAGTTTGGAAGACACGCTGTGAGCTTACATTGGATTTAGCTCAGAAGAAGAATAACGCAATTTAAAGATAAGAAAATTTTTAAGATAAGAAATATATTCTGAATTATATTAGTTAGAGTGTTATTGTTGCATAAACTTCACATTGCAGTTGAACTGTTGCTAGACTAAAATGTATGAAATCGACGGAAACATGTTGAAATATGAACTATAGACAGGTAGGCAACCTTTAAATGATAAATAAATATACATGTATGACATGAGAATGTTTTTATGCTCTTTGATATAAAACATAGCATGATATAAAAGTAGGCTAGTATGAGTGTATACACTAACATGATGAATATTATAATGTATATTTACTATGAAATACTGTGTTCGTGGATATCTGCTCAAACTGATGTTTATTATAATGTGGTAACAATGTTTCGAGGATCAACTCGATCACTTCAGTAAATGTTCTCTGCACGCGCTGTGAGTTTGAGTCACTCGCACTTTGCGTTTGAAAAGCAACATTTTTTGGGGGGAAGAAAACCTGAATCCCCCCCCCCCCCCCCCCATAATAAAAAATATTATTATTGTTACTATTATTTTATGCAGCCTTTTCTTCCCCAAATCGTGCAGCCTTGCCCCTGATATCAGCATGTTTACAGATTATTATTTTTTTACAGGGACCAGATGCCACCGATGAGTCCTGCTGACTTAAACATCCACATGAGACTCTGTACACGAACATGGTAAAATGAAAAAGCAAACTGCTTGGAAATGAATAGGTATGTTAAATGGTAACTGTTTTAGGAATGGCACAAAGGTGTGTGACTGTTCGAGTCTCTGTTTAGATCATTGTGCTTAATAATGTACCTTTTTGACCTTCGTTGTGTATCTTTGGGTTATGTTGTGTTGTAAATATATCCAAACAATCAAAAAGCCATTCTAAACTCTACATATTCTTTGTTCTGGTTCCCTCACAGTCCCACCTGCTAGGGGCATTAGGGGAGGGTATTTGTCTTCCCAGATGTGAAACACATCAATATTCATGATGATTCACGCTCTCCTCGCATAAAGCTTTCTTACACAAAACATGTCTTACACATTTTATTGTTTGTGGGCAGGGTTAGGGCAGGATGATCTTTACATAGTTTTGAAGCAAAAATTGTAGGCTACGTGATACAATTTTCAAAAGTCTTGTGAACAAATAATCAATATAGGTTATATGGCCTTATTTCAGTGACTACAATTTTTCAAACCATGCAGAAACGTCATTTTCTTAAAACAACAAACATTTACGTACATGCTGCTTACATATTTTTGTAGCAGAGTTTGTGCTGAATACAGTGTAATCAGACTTTAGCCATGAAAATGTTACAAGGAACAGAAATAAGCACAAATGTCAGAGCATGTCAGAACACCTGCAGGGCCCAGAAAACCCCTCAGACCCCAGAGGGTTAAATAGTTGTAATTAAAACAGTAATACTAAATGTTAATACATATTAAATTATATATATATATATATATATATATATAGGCTAACTGCATAAATGTCGTCTCCGAGAGAGACAGAGAAATATGTATCCTATCATATCATGTACAAAGTTGAAAACTTTTAAATAGACATATCAAGTAGTATAAAATGTATCTTAGTTATATCTATCTTAGTTGATCATTAGGCTACTCTTGACACAGAGCTGGTTTGGCTTCTGAGAGACGGGGACGTGCAGAGACGGAACACGGCTGTTTGATTTGTGATCTTGCTGTGCTTATTCCATTTATTCTTATACCATGGTCTGGGTGAATACTCGATTCTGATTGGCTGCAGGGTGTCCGTTAAAAAGTGATAGAGGACACCTAGTAAAGGAGTTCTGGTGAAACTGCCTGTTTACCGTTCGAAATTAATAAATAAATGCGCTGCCTACAACAGCTGTGACTGAGT